AAAAAAAAAAAAAAAAAAAAGTAAGAGATGGGGGTCAAACAGAAACCACAGTGTAACACAGCCAAGGCAGATCCATCAGGAATCACAATAAATGTAAACAGACTGAACGTGCCAAACCAAGGGCAGAGATTGTTAACCTTGGTAAATCACAGGAGGGCCGAAGGTCAAAAGGATGGCACAGCAAGTGATAAAAAGAAAACTGAGGTGTCGCATTAATGTTAAGTAAACAGACTTTAAGTCACAAACGATTTTCCAGGCACAAAGAAGGTTATTCTTTGTGTAATGACAGAAGGTTCAATTCACTAGCAGGATGTAACACTTTAAAATCTATACGCACTAAATTAAGAGAGAAAGAAAAAGCAACCTGACCCTGATTACACAGAAAATGAAAACCAACAGAAGTCAAGGAATTGCTAAGTCTGCTGCCCCAGATGACCACCCACGTGTCGGTTTACCGTCCTGTGGAGGCTGAGACATCATTCCACCGACCTTATTTCTTGTCTGGCTGCCCCCTGAGAACGTAGACTCCAGGAGGGCAGGGCCTGCGTGTTTCACACCAGCTCAGTTGGGCTTTGCTCACTCTTCCTGCTCTGGCTGTGCTCGCTGCCTGTGTCACTCTCTCCTGTCTCTTCTCTGGGGCCCCTCCCGTGATCCCATGTCCAGTTCTCGGGAGACCCTTCCTTGAGCCCCGGGTCTATCTGCTCTTTCAGTGTGCAGAGAGCAGCTCCGTGGTCTCACGAGTGATGGACAACCAGTGTTTAACGTCTCTCTCCTCCCCTAAAGGCGGTTCCAGGAAGGCTGGGAGCAGGCCCAACCCATTCCCCAGGGCCCAGCATCCTCGCCTGGTACACAGTAGGCCCCACTACATGAATACATAGGTGGCTCCTCACTGCCGTCAGGGCACTCTCTGCCTGGTGGAGACAGACAGCTACACACCTAAGTACAAGCAAGGAGGCTCGCCCGATGGTCAGGGGTGGCAGGGGCCTGGGCGGGGGGAGTGGCAGGCTCCACCAGGTGAAGGTGTGGTCAGCAAAGGGCAGCTGCTGAGTAAGGCCAGGCTGCCTAGAAGAGAGGACACGGAAGCTCAGAGAGGGGAAGGGGCCTGTCCAAGGTCACACAGCTGGAGAAGACAGAAGCAGGGTTGAAAGCCGAGCCGGCCTGCCTAAAATCATGTGGTTTAGTTCTCTGCAAGTGCTGTTCCCTCTCCCAGTGGTGTCCATCTTAGGACCACATATGAAGTGTTGGGACGTGTGTACAGTTCCTCCCTCAGGTCCCTGCCCCCCTCACCAGGAGGGAACGGGGCAGAGGGGCCGCTGTGAGCATTCTGGACCATACTTTTATCTATTCTGTGGAGAAGGCACTCTGCTGACGCAAGGCATAAGGCATGGGGCTGCTGACCAGAAGGTTGGCAGTTCAATCCACCAGCCACTCTGCAGAAGGGAGACTGGGCAATCTACTTCCCGTAAAGATTTACTGCCTCGGAAATTCAACGGGGGTCGCTATGAGTTGGAATCGACCCAATGGCAGTGGGTTTGGTTTTGGTTTATTCTGTGGAGAGGGGGACTGATTCACTGGGGTGGGGGATGGGCAGCAGGGCATTTCCGGGTCAGAGGAAACCACGTCGGTGACTGTCCCTTGATGCTCTGGGTTCACTGGGGGGCCGCTGCTGCCTCTCTGGGGGTGCTGTGAGGAGCACAGTGATCCCAGACACTGCTGACATGTAGTGTGGGTAGCAACTGAAGTCTCTCCAAGCTCCCCCTCCTACAGCTGTAGTACAGAGTGGGACCCCATCTGTTGGGAAGGGCTTGGGCCTTGCATGGTCAGGAAGGCCAGCCGCCAAAGGCTTTACGCGAAGACAGAGCCCAGCACAGTCCTCGAGGGGGGACTGCTGAGCCCCTCTGCTGGGGTCCTGTGATGGGTGGGGGGACCCTAGAAGTCCTGGCTCCAGGTCCAGCCTGTGAGCAGCGGAGAGCCCTGCTGGGGGCGTGCTTACGGCAGCAGCCCCAGAGTCGGAAAGCAACCGCTAGCAGCCCCGCGGATTATTTCATTCATTCATTCGTTCCCGACTGCAATGGTGCAATTCACACCTACTACCTAAACAAAAAGGAGCGGCTTGGCTGGTCACTGAAGGTCTGCGGCTGGAACCCTCCCAGAGGCTCATGGGAGAAAGGTGACCTGTCCCCGTAAAGGTCACACAGCCTCGGAAACCCTATGGGGCAGTTCCGCTCTGTCACACAGGGTCACTGTGAGCCAAATCCACTTGATCGGCACCCAACAACAACATCAACACAAGGCTCAGTGAATGTCTGGTAGGATTAAAACCAAAAGCCAGACCCAAAACTTCATGTAGTTTAAACAGAGAGCCCAGCCCTAAACTCTCACTGCCATGCCCTGGGAGATGTCGGGTCGCTGCCCACACCACGGAGCTCAGGAGGCGAACCCAGCGCGTGTCTTACCTGCTCATCCGTCAGAATCTGCACGTGGCGATTGCAGATGGCCCTGAACTCGTCCCTGGAGGCAGTGTTGGTTTTCATGGTGTCGAAGTTCTTGAACTCCTGGGCGATGGCATTGTAGTGTGTGGTCACTGCCTTGTGGAGGCAAGCCAGGATGTCTCTCCTGCCCATGTCCCTGGGTGGTGGGGACGTGGGCAGCAGGGGGGCCGTGGGCATCTTCTCAGCCCACTCGGCAGCAGTCTGGGCAAAACAGGATAGAGAATTGGTCCAGTTAATAAATTGTAAGTCCCAGAACAAAAGGGAAGAAAGGAAACCAGAGTCAGAAGACAGACTCAGTCTACAGCACTAACCGTCGACACGAACCATGGTCTTCTCTACTCTGAGACCAGAAGAACAAGATGGTGGTCAGCTATCACTACCGACCATTCTGATCAGGGCCATGAAAGGCAGACCCTGATCGCACGGTAAAAAAAACAAGGAATAGACCTCAAATTCTTAAAGAAACCGGACTTACTGGACCAGTGGAGACTGAAGGGCTCCCTGAGACCATGGCCCTGAGATACACCCTTTAAATCTTGAACCAAAGCTAGCCCCTGAGGACATTTTAGCTAAATAACAGATTGCTTAAAAAATAAAGAATATCAATCCTGAGTACTGTGCTTCTTTAAAAAATCATGTATTTGAGACCAAACGGTCAACAATGACGATAAAGCAAAGATGAGAATGTAAGGGGGCAGGGAGACTAGATTAATGGACATGGAACCACCAGAATGAAAACAACAACAAGTTTGAACCCACCAGCTGCTCTGCAGGAGAAAAGACCTGGCACGCGCCCCTGTAAAGGTTGCAACCAAGGAAACCCTGTGGGGCAGTTCTACCCTGTCCTCTAGGGTCAACCCAATGGCACGTAACAGCTGCTACTGCATAGATACAGATACAGATATAGGTGCTCTGGTGGCGCAGGGCCTAAGGCATTTGACTGCTAACAAGAAGGCTGGCGGTTCAAACCCACCAGCCACTCCTCAGAAGGAAGGTTGGGCAATCTACTTCCGTAGTGATACCATCTCAGAAACCTGAGGAGGGGTCTCTATGAGTCAGTCCAGCTCGATGGCAGTGGGTGTTTGGGTATACACACACACACACACACACACACACACACACACTAATTACCATCCTTTGGGACAGAAAAGGTCCGCATAATTTTACTGATGAACTCCTATCAAATGTAGGACCTGCTCCTCAAAAACCTGGACACACACACACCTTGGCCTCTACCCTAACCTCCCACGTTTTCCCTGCGAGAGGTAACAATGGCTTTTCCTGCTCACTGGAGGCAGAGGCAAGTGAACAGATGCCTTTCTACTGATGCCATTTTGGAATTCAAGGGGCTAATGACGCGTTTCCTTAACATTCCAGGGCTCCGGCACCCTGCGTGCAGGAACCTCTTCCCGGTGTGAGCCTGTGCCTGAGCCTAGCATGGTGCTCCCCACACCTGGGGCCTGAGGACCAGCCGGAAGGAGTGTGGGGGATGGAGCCCAGCGTGGAGAGTGCTGCGTCCCTGCCCCAACTCTGCCTCCAGCTGGCTGCGGGACCCACCCAGCCACTGAGTCCTGGCTGCCTCAGTTTCCTCAACTACCCATGAAGTGACTATGTGAGTGACGGCTCTGGGACAGAGTTAAGGCCCAAAGCAGACTGCCCTTGTTATCACTATGACAACAGATACGGAAGAATTCTAACACAGTGTTATGTGCAACCTCAGGTTAGTGTATTTTAAACTGTAGAGGTGACTGGATAGTTTTCTAGCAAAATACAGATAAGTAAATTTAACTTAAGTATTAAAACTCTGCATAGACAGGTAATCACAAAAGACATGCTTCAAGACATCAAGAAGGCTGTTAAAGATATACCGTCCGCTGTTAAAATGGTGTCAGGCCTATGTGGTTTGATGACATGCTGTATCCCTGGAGGAAGCGGTGTTGTCTACATAAGTCAGATTATTTGAGAACACAGAAGGAGATACGTGGATTCAACTCATTGCGTGTTAAGGACTCTGAGCTGTGTCCTCCTCTTCTCTCCTGCAAACACGTGTTGGCGTCCTGGACCCTGGATCCATGGACGGGATCCTGTGTGGAAGTAAAGTTGTTCTTGGTTGTGTCAGTGAGGTCATAGCCAACAGGGTGGGTCCAAAACCTAATCCCTTCTGAGTCATAAAAAACACAGACCAGACCAGACACACAGATGGGAGACAGACAGTGGGGACGGTACATCCTCAAGCCCAGGAATGGTAAGGACAGCCAGCAGTCACCAGGAACTAGGAAAGGGCTTAGAGAAGGAGCAGACCCAGCTTGGACCCTGAGTGGGACCCTCAGCCTTCAGAACCACAGGAACCCGAATTTCCGTCCTTTAAGGCCGCCCGTGTGTGACATTTTTGTTTTGGTAGCACTAGGTACCACGACATGTTATCAAAGACGGGGAAAGAAAACACATGGAAAGAAAACTTAAGCCAATCTAATATATGGCCGTTAACAGAAAAACTCTAGAAAAGATATTAGGAATATTTAGTCTAGCGATATATGTAAAAATGAAACGTCAAGACCAACTAGCATTTATTCTGAGTTTAAGGGTGCTTCAAGAATTGGCAAATCTTCCAATTTCATTCACAAGGACACTGACACAATTCAGCAACTATTAAAATGGCACACATGCCTTGAGCCTTGTGCCTTTTCAAGATGTCCCCACGCAGGGTCAAATTACAATGGCAATTTGAGAGATCGGACAGGAACCTCGGGGCAGTGAGTTGACGTTAATGGAAGAAGAACAACTCAGAAAAGGAGGGTGAAGCTGGCTGCGCAGCTCACAGAGTGTTGTTCACGTCCTGCCTCGTCCATGCTGTGTATGTTCCCAACCACAGTAACAACAAAATGAATATAATCTTAAAAAATGGCCTAGAGTAAAATGGATGAACTATGTTGTTATGTTATGTGCCGTCGAGTTGGCCCCGACTCATAATGACCCCTCCTTGGGTTTCCGAGGCAGTATCACTACGGAAGTAGGATTGCCCAACCTTCCTTCCGAGGAGTGGCTGGTGGGTTTGAACCGCCAGCCTTCTGGTTAGCAGTCAAGTGCTTTAGCCACTATGCTACCAGAGCTCCCGGACAAACTATAGAGAAAGACAATATCCTAACCATGCAAGAGGATTAACCAGACATCCTCTGCACCATCAAGATGCTCAGGGGGTGTGGTGGTTAAGGCATTTGGCTGCTAACCAAAAGGTCAGTGGTTTGAACCCACCAGCCACTCTGTGGGAGAAAGATAGGACAATCTGCTTCCGTAAAGATTTACAAGCTTTGGAAACCCAGTGGGGGTTGCTGTGAGTCAGAATCAACTTGACGGCAGTGAGTTTGGTTTTTTTGAATTTGATCTGCAACGTCACATTAAGTGGGTGGATACTACACACATTTCCATTCAAGTCAGGAACAAGACAGCCATGCTCACTTTACTTCTGGTATCCACATTTTTAGAGGCTCCAGCTTTTGAAATAAGACAAGAAAATGAAATAAACAGTATATAAATGTTGACAAAAAGATTTATCGATATTTGTGAATATGACGGTACAACAAGAAAACCTCCATAACACAATTTAGGAAAGTGGCTGGATTCAACTAAAATCGACAAAAATAATAACAACAGCCAACAAAGCACCCAAAACCCAATCCCATTCTTTTGCAAGAACCGTGACTAGTTAGAAATTGGGAAAACGTCCCACATTCGCATTAATGACAGAGCTACTGAGTGCCTCAGGACAAATGTCACATGATGCCATAGGAGCTCTAGAGAGAAACCACAACAGTTCACTGAAGGTTATCAAAGCAAGGCTGCCATCAGTGGAGAGACATGTTATCTTCCTGGGTGCAAAGGCTCAACTTCCAGAGCTGTGACTGAGGCAGGACACACCCGGTTTTGAGAAAATGAAACTTAAGAGAATGGAAAGCCCCTGATACGCCCTCCCTCCCTCTTGCTGCACTTCTACTTCTGTAAAACTGCCCTGCTCGCATTTTTCAGAAAAGAAACCAACCGCCATGTACACTGGGTACTCTGGAAACATACACAAGCCCTGCGTGGCCTTTGTTTGGGGCTCAGGCTCTGGATGTGAACCCACTGAGCCGAGTGTCGACACGATAAAGTCCTTCCTTTACCCCATCCTGCTCAGCGTTAGCATTTCCCTTGGCGGCTCCGGCAACATAACCTCTCCCAAATCAATAAATGCATCTAACAAAATTCTAACAAAAATGGAAGTAGGTTTTGGGGAGACCATTGGACAGACTGATACTAAAGCTGATACAGGAAAAAAAAGTATGTGCGAACTGCTGTGACTTTCTACCCCCTACCTTTTGAGACACCTTTTTTT